AGATATAACATACTCATGTGGTATCTTCAAAGACCTTGATAGCGATTTTAGATGAAAAAGCACCAGCACCCACAAGTGGACTGGCAGGCAAAGCTTGGAAAGCCTACTGGACCCCCGAAAAACTCTTCCTTTATCCCCACCACTCTCTCAACCCGAAACGCCAGCAGAATCGGGCCAGATACCTCTCAATGGGATCACTCTATTTCAACAGAACGAAGGACCCGAAGACGAACTGAAAACTCTCAGACTTGTAAATTACAGCACATCATCAAAAAAGCCGGGATACGCGATGGAAACCGTGTTTTAGAAATCGGATCTGGATGGGGTTCTATGGCTATGACTATCGTCCAGCAATACCCAAATGTGATGGTGGACACCCTGATATGCTCTGTGCAACAACAGTCGCTAGCGCAGGACCGTATATGAGTTCTTGGCCCAGACATTGCCAAACAGATTCAGGTGATTACTATACTACCTGAGGCTCGTGAGTATATACTGTCGTTTTCCTGGAGAAGAAGCTGACCACTCCACTCAACAGGATTCGAAAAATACATGCATGAAATAGACTTTATTCGGAAATGGGTGCATCGCTCAATGTCTAGCCGAACACAAATCTAACTTGAATTCTTATTAAAATCGGTAAAATATAGAGTGAGTACCATCGGAGAACTTGTCCAATTCTGAAGGCTAACGTGAACCAGTCTTTCCAGGGGGTTTCCTGCCATCCCTTACATTCCTCCTTCAAACTCTTCAATCTGGCTCCAAAGGACGCCTCGTTGACTCCATTTTCAACATTGGGCCACACTATGTGCACACTCTGCGAGACTGGAGGCGACACTTTGAGGCCAAATTTGAGAGCGTTATTGTTCCCCCCCTCAGACACGAATATCCTGACGTGATGGGTGTCAAGTGCGACCCAATTAAAGCGCGAGAAGAGATTGAGGTTTTTAGACGGAAATAGATCTGTAAGCGCCGTGTCTTTTTCTTTCTACTCTACAACTTGAAGCCGAGACCCTGTCCTCTAGATTATTACTGCTATTGTGAAGTAGGTTCCACGACACGGACCTTGGGAGGCAAGCCACCTATCATTTCTTCGTATGAGCCTTCCTAATTATTTCGTGACAGATCATATCATTACGTTTGTGCGGGAGGGATACCAAGATTATGGGTGTGACGTCTTCGATTAGGCTGTGTTTTCTATGCATAAGTCTACCCTTCTTCCCTATCCAGATGGGAATGACAATTCACACAACGCCTCAATGATCAAATTTAGAGCATACCAATTTTTTTCTCTAGCGCATTGCGGCGCTCTTCCGTTGTGCATGTATGAATATTTCCAATGCGTTTACCGACTATTGTACAACCGGAGACGGAGCGCAAATCTTTTTTATTATTATCTCATTTTCTCCCTGAATGATACACTCTGATCCATAAGTCGTCAATCAGAAACAAAAGAGAAATATAACAGGATACACTGGGAACGAATGGAAATAAAGATAGAGAAATATAAATTGGGACGTAAGTATACTTCGTCAGTCAAGCTGGAGCTAAGTAGCTGATTTAGGAATTGCCGGACCGAGAAGGCTCACCGTCCCGCACGAGTTTTTTTACACATCTGTTCATCCAATACCTGATTTATTCGTATGAGATCTTGGACCGCGATCTGCGACACACCGTCTGTGTCTGCTACAACGGCATACACATGTTATGACCAAGTTGTAACGCGTCCAGCTGGGCTTCACTCGCTGTGTTTCGTTTCAGCGTGGTTCGATGGTGTGAAGCAGACCCTGTTTCTGGTTCAGGTGCTGTTTGGGATCGATCTCTGCGTCTCGATTCTTCTGGGTACAAACTACGCAAAGGATCGGATAATGGTTAAAGCTAGTAGAATGACATTTTGCTCACGTACCTTCTTCAGTATGAAATCACTACTTTGTTCACAATAGGTCTCTGGTGCATCTGGGTCTTTAAAAAAGGCAAGTTTCTTCAACTAAGTCAAAGTATTGAAAAGTAAAAGCCACGCACCGGAACCACCTTGTAATTCATACTTCATCCTTTTCAAATCCTCCGCGGAGACCCCAGCTTCCCAGCTACTGTACTCATCAGATGGAGGAAAAGCCGGAGAACGAGCAGGGCTCTTGGGAAGCTCGATGCGACGCTATGGGTGAGAAATTAGTTTTAGACTTTCCGCAAGAGAAAAACAAGCGTACAAATGGCAATTTCTATTTGCCATGATCAGTGATGTGTAATAGCGTAGCGAGTCGGACATACCCTCAGCTGGATTGATTTTCATGGCTTCCACAAATTTCTCCATATCCCCACCCCTTCTGACTTGCTTCTCCTTGTAAAAGGCAACTGTTAACACAACCATCAGCTGGTGATAAGATCACAAGCAGGGTACGTACGCTTTTTTTTGATATTTCCACTTATTTTCTTCTTATCGATCAAGTCCAGGATTGTATCAAACATAGCCTGGGCTTTCTCAATGTTTCCAAGGAAGACATGACAGCCTACAATAGTTCAGCACTTGAAAGTGGTAAAATTGGTCATGAACGAACCTGCAGCAATGTAATAATACGTTCCATGACTCCTGCCCTCGCAAACGTAAGGAGGAGTCGAAGGGAGGGGGGGAGAAAGACAAACCAGCTGTTCAGCTCTGTAATTTTGATGAATGTATCCGCTGCTTCTTGATATCTTCTTTGGCTGAGAAGGACCCAAGCTAGCTCGAATACAAGCTGACGTGCGTCAGCACCTGCAAGGCAGAAGATGGAAAAGTGATTACTCACAACCATATCCGCCTGCACGAAATGATGTGGCCTCTCTGGCCTCATTGCTTTTTGGAGAACGTTGATTACGCCCTTTGCATCATTTGACATACGCAAGATCTTTGCCTGTCGATGTATTAATTAAGTGTAATAATGAGTGAGACGACAAACACGATTGAGGATCCACAGAGCTCCGTCAGGATAGCGTGATTCGACACTATTCAAAAATCATTACGAGACTTGAGAAATACGAAGAGATTACTTACTCGTCAACGATAGCTTTGTACTCCTTCAGGATCCTCGCCTTGTCCGCTTGATACCCTGATAGAAGAAGCACCCCGCCATGATACGTCATAAGGACCAGCCTAAGCAAGCGTTAGAATATACGCGAAAGACATGGAAAAGTTTCTCACCCCGCAAACACACCATGAACATCCTTTTTCAACACCGCGAGCGACAATGCGCGCAACGCCAACTTTCGATCATGCTTGAACCCAAGAAAGCCGACGAGTCCTTGCACCTTTCTTGGAAGAAGCGAAAAGACGAGGTTGAACAACCCAAAACCGAATGCCGTGCCTGCCACGATGAGTTCTTCTACTGGGCCGTCAGGAATGGTGGGAAGCTCTGGGTGGTGATGGTGATGGTGAACGGCGATGTTGGGTGTGGAGGCTACGTTCGTCGAGCCAGTCTACCTGCCGAAGAGGCTTGGAACGGCTGCGGGGAGGGTGGTGTAGGAGGAAGAGGAGACTTCTACAACGGATGAGGTAATGTGTGGGATGGGATGAAGGTGAGTTATAGTTGTTGCTTGNGTAATGGTTTTGGTGAGAGTGAGG